CCCACTAAAACTACACCAGCTCTCTTGCCTGACTTCTTCAGAAAAGCTTGACTTGGGCAACCGGAGCAGAACTCCAACAGAAGTTTCCGCAAGTTTTGTGCTGTCCGTGGCGGTGGCCACTTAGCTGCATACAGCTACTGAGCACGTGAAACACGGCTGGTGCGACTGATGGAACAGAACTGTTATTTTCAGTTAAGTCTAAATACACATATGCGGCAAGTGGCTGCCATATGCAATGACAAAGTGATATAAGGAAACAATCTCTTCGCTGTGGTCAGCCTTCTGTGATGGCGTGCAGCTCTAGCTACACAAAGCAGCTCATCTCCAGAAACACGCTCAGCGTCGCTTCTCCTCTGCGTATCCGTGTGAGAAAATCCACACTAGATATTCAGAAAGGCAAAATAAGACCAAGCTTATGTGTGGGACTCGGGGACTCAGACAATCCTCCCTCCACTAGGTGCAAGGTACCTAACATCTAGGAACGCTGGTGTCCTCTGCTGCAGAATCCAAACCATAATCACCAACCACAGCACTAAATGCCCATAAAATCCTCAGTGCACGGCGTTCAAGTAACCTAAAGGCAATTATTCTATTTGCACAGAGCAACACTAATGCAAGAGGCTTTTTATATATGTGTGTGTATCTATCTATATATTTTTTTTTGAGACAGACCTTTACATTACCCTCAGTTGAGTGCCGTAGCGTCACAGCTCACAGCAACCTCCAACTCTTGGACTTAAGCGATTCTCTTGTCTTAGCCTCCCAAGTAGCTGGGACTGCAGGCGACCATCACAACGTCCAGCTATTTTTTGGTTGCAGTTGTCATTGTTGTTTAGCTGGCCCAGGTCGGGCTGCAACCCACTAGTGGTGGTGTATGTGGCCAGCGCCCTACTCACTGAGCTACGGGCACCGAGCTGAGGCTTTATATTTTTTAAAAAGTAATGCAAGCATTCTCTCCTCAGCTCCTTCAACTTCCCAGTAGGAACCACTATTCTAGTTCTCCTTTTCATTTTTACACATAAAAGGTGATGCTTAGAAAAGCTGCAAGAGTCCAACGTTCCATAACGATCAAGAGTGGAGTACGAACATGGCGGGTGCTTTCGCAGGTTTGGGCCAAATGGGGACAAAGATGCCTCTTTTGACAAACGTCACCTGCCATGATGCTTCCTGCCACTGTGGAGACAACTCAGGGGCTCCATTCAGCGCTGTCAGCTCTCAAGCCCATTTAAACCCTCTTGCCAGCCCCACCAGGCAGCTTCACAATGCCATTTTACAGAGGAGAAAACTGAGGTCCTGAAAGTGGAATTCAAAAGCAAATCCAATTACAAACTCCCACACCGCAAGATCTTCCTGTACAGCTTATTAAAAAGCCCAAACTTTCAGGAGCACAGAGAAGACCTGGGAGGCTTCGGATCAACCTGTGAAAATTAAAGGAAAGTCACACTTTCAGGACCTACCAAACCTTGGCTCAAAGAAGAGTAAGAACAGCCCCCAAGGATCCCAGTAGCACTCACAGGCCAACAGGCCACTGCCCCCACAGCCCCCCAAGACAGCTTCATTCCCTCAGAAAAGGGGCCTCTGCCTTGCTTTGGGAGTTCCCTGGGCCCAAGAGTACCTGGCCTCTAGCAGCCGCTTAGTATATTTGTAAATGAATATTTGTGCATCACTGTGAAAGGGGAAAAAGTATTTCCTAAGATGCTGTTCTTTAGAACCAGTGGCATCCACATAACTGATGTAAAAACTCTATAGACTTTGATACCTTAATTTCTAAGCACGTCTACAGTTCCACGTCCTCTTTAAAAGTCTCTCCTGGCACTTTTCCGAGTCCAGTAAGGGTGCAACATGCAGGTGGGGGGAAAGACACCGCACTACACCAAAATCCCCATTTCTGTCCTCAGGTGTGTGTGCCAGGACGGCCTGGAATCGCTTTCAGGGGCCATTCTGATAACTGGACCAAGCGATTGGACTTCAACTTTTATCCCTGCGTTAGCATCGCGGCTCACTTGAGACACGACTGCCTTTAAAGATAAAAGCTTCACACTAGACATTCCTTTTTATTTTTCCTAATTGCATCTTTCTGTAGAAATGATTTCTTGTAAACTTTTCATAAAATCGTCAAGAGCCATTTCCTACAGGGAAGCCACCGCCTGCGACCTTAGCAGCGAGCGCCCCTCCCCCTCCTCCTCGTCCTCCAGAGTCCCGGCGCTCCCCTTCCAGGTTAAACCAGGGAATCACCCTGGCCGTGCGTCAGGAGAGAAAACATCCACCCGCCAGGTCAAGCCACACGTGACAATGCAAAGCAGTAACACTCGCAGATACAACACAGGGTGGGTTTTGTTTCTTTTTAGGTTTTGATCCTGAACATCATCGACTCCGACAGAAACGCGTCGGCGCCTAACTTTGTGGAACGTCCACCGAACACGAGGCCGAGCACTGAGCAAGCCGGGGCCCTGGGCCTGACCGCGTACAGGCGACGCACGTGAGCTCCAGGCCCTATCCCAGAGCGGCGGGCGGCCAGCGACCCAAAGTTGTCACAAACCCGGCGATCTCCCGACCGCCGAAGGCGCACCTCTCATTCTGAGCACCGGCCCCTCCATGAGGGAAGGTCCCCGCAGGGCCAGGGCCCCGGATCTGGGGGCCCCACTTCCCTCCGCACCCCAGCCAGAGCTAGGGAGCAACAGGTCTGCACCCTGTGCTGTTCTGCAGACGCCGGAAGACCAGGGGCGCCCCCCGCCGGGTCCCCGCTCTCCGGCCTGGGAGTGGCGGGGGGAGGGGGCTCCACTTCCTTGACAGTTTCCGCGCCTCAGAAACTGTGCGGACGCGGGGCTCGCGCCGCCTCGCCCGCCTCTCACTCCTCCCCGCCCTCCCAGCCGCCCCCCGGCTCCGGGCCAGCCCTCGCCCCGGATGAATGGGGCTCCCCTCCCCCACGAGGGGAATCCCGCCTCGGCCCCCAGCCCGCGGGGGCGTGGGTTTGCCCAGCGAGCCCTAGAAACGGCAGACAAAGGGCCGCCGGCGGGGAGACAGAGCGCTTCCTCAAACTTACCGGCCGCCTCCCCCTCCCCAAAACAAAGCCCCCCCCCCCGCCAGCCTCCGTCCGCCCCCCGCCCGCCCGCACTTTGGGAAGCGGCGGCAGTGGGGTATTGTTCAGCCTCCCCGGAGCGCGCCGCACCCCAGCCCGACCAGCGCGGGGACAGTTAGGGACCTGCCCCTGCAGGAGCAGGAGCGTCCCGGGGCCCTCAGCAGCCGCCGAGTCCCGGGTGACGCGGCGCCCCGCTCGCCACAGAAGTTTGCGCGCCCCCCGGCCCCGCGTCCG